ATTTGGAAAACAGTCCCAGGCTGACTACTGACGCGCCACAGTCGTCGTCGTTGTCGTCGTCGTGGTCCGTGGTCCCAGTCGTCGACTGCGGCGCGCCTACTCCCCCCCCCCCCTTGGGGCATCCGCAGCGCGTCGTCGTCGCCGTCGTCGTCGCGTTGTCATCGTCGTCGTGTCGTCGTCGTCGTCGCCGCCGCCGCCGCCGCCACCTCCGCCGTTGCCGCCGTCCTCGTCGTCGTCGTCATCGTCGCCGTCGTCGTCGTTACCGCCGTCGACGACTACAGCGGGCCTGCGCAGCACCTCCCCCATTCATGGGTCATCCGCAGCAATGCGTCGTCGTCGTCGTCGCCATCCTCGTCCTTGTCGTCGCCATCGTCGTCGTCATCGTCGTCGTGCTTCTCGTCCTCATCCTCGTCCTCTTCTTCGTCCTCGTCCTCGTCTTCGTCGTCGCCGTCGTCGTCGGCTTTCGTCGTGGTCGTCGTCGGTGTGCAGAGCGGGCATGCGCAGCCCCCCTGCCCCATCCCCATGGAGCATCCGCAGTGCGTCGTCGTCTGCCGTCGCCGTCGTCCTCGTAGGATATTGTAGTGGAGGGGGGCGGAGAAGGAGAAGGAGGAGCCTTTCCGCTTGTCTTTGTTGGATCTCTCCCCTTTTTTTCTTGTCTTCTATTTTTGGTTGTGACCATGACAGCACCGGCCGCCAGCTGAGGTGCCTCTTTCCCCCGCCTCCTGCTTCTCTCCTGTCTGTTGCCGTTTTGGCCCAATCGCCCCGCTATAGCGGAGGCGCTGCTGCCCCCCTCCGCTGAAGCGGCGCCGATGGCGTCGCGCTTGTCGCCCTCCTGCCGCCGCGCGCCGGTGCGAATCACCGCCGCCGCCGCCGTGCATTTCCATGTTGCGGGCGCCCCCCTCGCGAGTTGCCCGATCAGGGGATCCATTTTTTAGTCGCGCGCCCTGCTTGTTTTTGTAAGCCACAGGCTTACATTCATGTGTCGCGGGGGCCAGCCCAGGGACGGTCTGACCAGGATTTACCACACTAGACACAACCACCGAGACAGTGGCTTGTCCACAGGCTGAAAGACCGGAATGTCTGATTTCAAAATGGGTCCGCTGGGCCTTGCAGGGCACTTCACGAATCCCCAGAATCGACGAAGGATTTGCCCCAAATGTTTTTTAGCACGGTCTCTCTCTCTCTCTCTCTCTTTCTGTCTGCTTGTTTGTTTTATTTATTTATTTATTTATTATTATTATTGTTATTATTATTGTTATTATTATTATTATTATTAGTATGTTTCTTCTTTTCTGTTTTTCTCTCTCGCTCTCTCTGCCTGTGTCTCATCGTATGTGCCAGCTCTATACCTAGTCCACGGCCCGCGGGAAAAAAGGGGGAGCGAGAGGGGGCAGGCCTTCCCGGAAAGAGGGCGCGGCTTCCCAGAAGCATTCCAGCCAGTGATGAGCCATGTGTGATATCGGGGACAGTTCAGAACCCTTCTGAATAGGCCGGAGGCTTTCTGAGCCTTCTGAAAAGGGTCGCCCCCTCTGCTTCCGCCGGGTGCGGTAGGTTCGTGTCGTGTCGACGCGGCGACGACGCCGCTGAGGGCATCCAGGGCTGATCGCCGCCATTGGCCCAGAGCCAGTGGATATGGAACGATCCGAAAAAGGGGGGAAACGATCGTTTAAGGTCGAACGATCCACACTGGCTTTGTTGGTTTCCAATCCGTCGAGATCACACCAATTGTTTCCAGTAGTTGGCTTGGGACATATATTATCGATGGAGCGAACTCAAGCATCTAGCCAAACGCAAACCACATCGCCACGCGTGGGTGGCAACCCGAATGTCTACACATGGTTTTGGTATAAAAAAGTTGACGATCCACGCGGTATCAGAAACCATTGTCGAAGTCGTTACGACGCAAACCCGCCGTGCAGTTGGCGGATCATTGCTCGGGTCTCCGGCGGACGTTCGGGACGATCCTGGCACCCCCTTGGCCGTTTTTCGGCGAGGCGCAGCCGCTGGAACGCATCCCTTGGCTGGAACCGACGACGCCTGAGCTTCGAACCGCACAACCCCGAATTTCAACTTTCCCCGCGCCGCTGAAAGCAGCACAGGCGCCCTGCGAGAGCCCCACCCTGCGGCAATGCGGCCGTCTTCCGCCTGTGAGCCCCCCGGCCTTCGCCTCTCCCGGCCGCCGCCGCCGCCGCCGCCTCGCGCCGCGGCGCCGACGGGTCTGCCCACGCCGGGCACCGCGCCGCTGCTGGGCGCGGGCGCTGCGTGGCCGCAAACCGCCAGCGCCCGCCTGGTGCCCGCCTGGGGGGGGGGCCTCGCGACCTGCGCCTTCGGCGTCGGCGTCGTCGTCGTCCTCGTCGTCGTCGTTGTCCTCGTCGTCTTCGTCGTCCTCGTCGTCCTCGTCGTCCTCGTCGTCCTCGTCGTCGTCCGCGTCGTCCTCCTCGTCGTCGTCGTCATCGTCGTCGTCGTCGTCGTCGTCGTCGGCGTCGGCCTCGGCCTCGGCGTCGGCGTCTGCGTCGGCTTCGGCGTCGGCGTCGGCGTCGGCGTCGGCGTCGTCGTTTTCTTCGTCGTCGTCGTCGTCGTCGTCTTTGTCGTCGTCGTCGTCGGTGGTGCTTCGCCGAAGGCAGCCCCAGGGCCTCGCCGAGCGCGTTGCGTGGCCGCGTAATTACCGCACGCGCCCGCCTGGTTAATTGCCGCTTTGGGGGGGAGGGCCTTTCGCGACCTGCGCCGTCCTCCATCGTTTGAAAGGTTTCGGGACTTTCAAAAGCTTCCGTTCGGGCCTCCCTCCGCCGCCGCATCGTGCTGCTCCTGAGCGGGCCCGTTGCTGTGCTGCACGCGCCTGACTGTCGTGCACCTTTTGTTCCCAGCACTCCCTTGGTTGGGTTCCCGTTTTGAATTTGAGCAGCGGGGTTTCCACCTCCTCTCGGCTCTCTTCTCTCCCATCTCTCTTGCGGGCCGCGGAGTGAGGGCTGCTCTGGGAGCCATCGCATTGGGGTCCCACACAAACCCGAACGGGACCTCGCCATCCCTGGGTGGGGGCTGCGAAGTGTAAAACTGTGGGCACTTTCAAGGGCTGCTGAGGGAGCCCGCACAGTGGGGCCACACGCGTATCCAAACGGGACCTCGCCATCCCTAGGGGGGACTGCGAAGTGTGAGATTGTGGCCCATTTCGAGGGTTGCTGGGGGCACCAGCTCAGGGGACCAGGGGACCTCGCCGGGGGGGGAGCTGCGAAGTGTGAAACCGTGGCCATTCTGGCTAAAGTTAATCTTCCGCGTACGCCTTCCGCTTACGCTACATTCACCTCCCAATACCACACATAAGTTGATAGTTTGTTTCTGGGTGCTCGTGACTCTGGCAATACACTTTGATCATCATTGTGAAAATGCCAGCGGAAAAGCACCAAATGGTGATTCCAGAAGTGCTCTGATGCAGGCCATGACAGGGAGCAGCCCGCCTCAGGCGCCACAGCCTATGGCTGCCGAAGCTGGGCCACTAGCCCATAGCCCAGGGGCGGCTGCCGGCAGCGCGGACGATGTTACGACTCCAGACCAGGCACCGTTTAAACGCCGGCTCTCAGAAGCAGCAGGTCGACCTCTGACGGCTGATTATTTGCAATTGATATTGGGCAGCCAAGTGTCACCTATCATGCATGACATCGCAGCCATCAAGCAGCATGGGGTCTCCCAGGACAATTTGAATGAGAAGATCGCCGTCGACGACCTTTCAGGGCGCGTGGCGGCATTGGAAACGAAAGATCCCTCATCCAGACCTTTTATCAGTGGCATCCGGAACAGCACCTAGTATGACATCAACGATTGGCACAAAACTACAGGAATTGGAACGTGAGGTTGCAATGTTGCGGTCGACCGGGGCGTCCACAACAACAGGACAATCTATTCCGACAACTCTTGTGATAGGGGGGCCTACCGCATGCCACCCTCCTTCGAGCCGAACGCTGGGTTGCAGAAGTGCTCTCGGAATCGAGCTGCGAGTTGCCATTTGAAATCTACAAGAAGGGACCCCCAGCAAAAGTTGTTTCAACGCATGCTTGTCTCGTAATTCAAATCCGCACAATCGCCAGGAAAGAGCTCCCCCAATACTGCAAGCAGCACGCGAACTACAAAAGCCTAAAGAAGGGAACCGCCATGTCTGATGCAAAACGGACGCTCCAATCGAGCAGAGGGCCTCCCCTTCTTTCCTGACGGGACTCCGGTATATTGTCAGAAAGTGGGAATTCGACAAAACGTTTCTGAAGCTCGATGGGGTTTGCAGTATAGTGAAAGCCAGAGGAAACACATCGAAAAATCATATGTTGTAAATTACGTGTTGCATACGCAATGGTTGGACATTGATTGCGAGACTTGGCAAGAGCTGCAACAAGCTCCAGAACGGGACGACCTGAAGAAAAATACGTAGGAGCGTTTGGACATGAGTGCGGCTAGCTCGTCCAATGGGGCGGGCAAAGGCAACGCACAACACTTGAAGGTGCCAGGGGCGCACGGGCTGTGTTTCACCTTTTCGGATCAACACCTTATCGCGGATCGCGGTGTATTGCGACGTGTTGGACCGAACGATTTGGGCAGAGCTACCAACCCTTCTGTTCCAGGCGACACTTCCCCAGCATACACTCTTACCCGGCAATATTGTGGTCTCAGAGTTGGTACTTGGAATGTTCGTGGATTGACAGAGATCAAGACGCTCGACATAATCAAGCACATGGAACATCACAACAGAGGTGTCTGCGCATGCAAGAAGCACGACATCGAGTGCATAAGTTTATGGCCAAGATAGGTACGCAATCATTCTGTCAGGGACCAAGTCAGACGGCAAACCATGGATTGGTGTTGGCATTGTAGTACCACCCCATGTTCGTAGACATGTTCGGTCGTACGTACAGGAAAGTGTCCGAACGACTTTGCAGTTTAAAGCTCTCGTTGGTGGTAGTACGATTGGGATATTCTGTACACTTGCCCCACACAATCTAAAACCTCTTGCCTGACAGGACAGCGCTCGACGACAGTTTGGACATAGAGTTCAGGACATGCCGGGCGAACTTCGGACAGTTTTTCCTAGGCGATTTCAACGCGCGGGTCGGCCAAGTGCGCGCTAGAGAACAATGTGTAGTAGGTGAACATGGATGGGGTCGAGAAGCGGTACATGAAGTTGAAGATTCAAAAAAGGGATGCTTTGCTCCAATTCTGCACGGGCGTTGGTTTGGTGATCGCCAGAACGTTTGCAGAACTGCAATTGAAGGAAGTAGTTATTACTTTCCGAGAGTCTGACACGTTGCCGTTTGGTCCCATTTCTGAGACATCTCATAATATTTTGCGAGTCACCCGGAGGCGGCGTTGGCGATTGACCATTCCCTGGTGACGTGCTTTTCTGTTCTCGAGGCATCGCCCGTTGATCGTCAACAAACCAACGCATTCGACATGGCGGCGACGCGCGATGCGAGGGCCCGAGAATCCTTTACGAGCGCGTTCAACGCCGCCCACAGTGCCGCTGCATTCTATGCGCAGCAGACGCGGGAGAACATGAAGAATGCGATCGCCCAGGCTCAGACGGCCCTGCCCCGCCAGAAACGCAAGAGACAAAAGCCATGGATCACACAGCGCATTTCGGAATTGATAGCGCAGCGGGGTACGGCTCGGGCCAATAACATTCCAATGGGCAGGAAGAAGTTGTTCAAACAAGTGCGGGATTCTGCCCAGCTTGATCAAACCGTTTGGGTGGATCAACGGGTTGCTGCTGCAGATTGGGCTTCGATCAAGCGCGCGTGCCGGCCAACACCGCGCAAACAAGGACGGCTGATAAATTTGCACGGATATATCTCGTTGGCAGCACGGACGGAGCAGACACACTGGCAGAGCATTTCGAACAAATACAATGGAAAACGCGCCCGGCGACATTTCTTCGACGCCGGCCATTGGGGGCGGTATTACCGATCACAGAGGAAGATTTGCACAACCAACGCCTTTCATGCCGTCCGCAGACATATAGAACTAGCATGTGCCGCTCGCGATGGTGCCGTGGCCCTATTCGCGCTCGACTGGAAAAAGGCCTTCGGCCCCATCAATTTGCAGACTCTTCTCGATGCACTTGCCGCAGTTGGTGTGCCCCCACACATGCTGCAACTCACTGGGTACATATATGGCTCCCGTCGGTTCGGCGTGGCTGACGGACAGCGCGCTTGTCAAAGACGCGGAAACGTTCTTGAAAGGCGACGTTGTTCGAGCATTGTCTTTTGGAAGTATTTTGCACTTTTGCGCGCAGACGGTACAGTCCTAGTCGGGAGCAACGAGCGACAGATGCAACAATTGTTGGATGCAGTTGCAGGTGCCAGTGCACATATGGGCATGGAGTTGCATTTGGACAACTTCAATTGCTTCAAATACATTGCGATTTGCGCATTGCCGATTCCACTGTAAACAAAAAACTCATTATTTCCACCGCGCCCATGAAGTACTTAGGGGGGCTAGACTGCACGACGCCGGGATCATTTTTAAAAGAGGAGTTGGGAAGAAGGTTGGGTGGTGCATGGGGGGGAACTTCCAAGGTATGCTTAGGCGTGGAAGCTTGCGCCAATCAGTGCGAAAAGGAAGTTGGAAGTGTCTGGGGCACTTATCACAACCAAGGTAATGCATAATTAATGTAGCGCATGGCTCAGCAAAGCTGGTCGGCGCAAACTCGATGGGTTTCAAGCCTGGTGCTTGCGTGTCCTGTCGGCATCAAGTCGATTCGTATTGCCAGAGTGTCCAACATTACCACATGGGAAAGAGCGGCACAAATACCTTACACGTCGCAGCTATTGAAGAGTGGCGTGGTGTGTTGTTTGGGAAGGTGTGTCGCAGCAGCGACGCGGTTGCATTGAGATAACTTACTGTATGCCTAACAGTGCGCTTCCAGCAACGAGCATTGTGAAACAATCTCGTGGGAGACCGAGCAATCGATGGACAAACTGTTTGTACGACGAAGTAAAGGATTGCTTCCCCATCAGAACAGCGCCTACTCGAAGCCATCATGGACGAGAAAGTGTGGAAAGGGTTCGCATCAGCAGGCCGCTTTTCCTTCCTCCTCTTGGCAGCGCAGGCTGTGCTGAGCTTGTTTTTCCCGCCCGCGCGCTGGATTCTGCATGGCTTGAGTGAGTGAGTGAGTGATGGGGGGTCAGCACACTAGGGCCCCACGCGGACCTCGATGACCTCGCCATCCCTGGGAAGTGGTGGGGTGCTGCGAAATGTAAGACCTTCAGATCTTTGAACGCTGCTGGGGTGCGCAACATAGCTGGGCCCCACGCGGATGCGGAGGAGGAGGGCTGGGGGATGATGATGATGAGGAGGAGGAGGAGGAACAGGCGGAGGAGGAGGAACAGGCGGAGAAGGAGGACGAGGAGGAGGAGGAGCTGGAGGAGAGGGAGGAGGAGGAGGAGGAAGCGGAGGAGGAGAGAAGGAGGAGAGAGAAGGAGGATGAGGAGGAGGAGGAGAGGAGGAGGAGGAAAGGGGGAGGAGGAAGAGGGGGGGACGAGGACGAGGACGAGGAGGAGCCGGACGAGATCGGGGAGGCGAGAGACAAAATGAGGAAGAGGACGATGAGCAAGAGAAAAGGAAGGAGGGGGAGGACGAGGATGAGGATGAGGATGAGGAGGGGGAGAGGGAGGATGAGGAGGAGGATGATGATGATTATGATGATGATGATGATGAGGAGGAGGAGGAGGAGGAGGAGGAGGAGGAAGAGGGGGAGGTGGTGGAGGAGGAGCAGGAGGAGGAGCAGGAGGAGGACGAGGAACAGGAGGAGGAGGAGGAGGAGGAGGAGGAGGGGGAGAAAGGGGGGGGAGGCGAGGAAGAGGAGGAAGGGAACGAGGAGGATGAGGAAAGGAAGGGCGAAGGGAAGGGCGAGGAGGAGGGGGAGGAGGACGAGGAGGAGGATGAGGATGCGGAGGAGAAGGGAGGGGAGATATGGAAAAAACGCTACATGTCATTGTCTGCTTGTGTCTCCGCCTATGCAGTCATATCTTGCTCATGCTCCATCGTTCCGCTGTGTTTGCCGACGTGATTGTGTTTCCACCTCATTGTCTTCATGTTCTTGCGTCTCCTTTCCCGTGCAACGCCTCCCCGTACGTTTATCATGCGAGTCGGCCGCCTATATGTATATATATATATATGCATCATACATATACATGTATAGATTCATGTATCCGTGTATATGCAGATCAATCCAGTATAATAGGTGTAGGCATACTTATTTATATATCGATATACATATATATATATACGTTTACAACCGCATACACGTGTAAGTATATACGCCGCGCACCGTCTTTTGCACTGCTGCTGTCAAGCGGCTGTCGGCACACTTTATATCAACCCTAGGTGTCGATGGGTTGGGTATGTCGCAGAAGTGGTTGCACGTGCGGGTGCCTGTTGGTTGCCCCCATCACGGCACACGTTCGGTGGTGATCAGGTTTGCACATCTTCCCGCCAACGCCCTCGCTGCGCTGGACCCTGCGGCAAGGAAACAAGACGTGTGCAGGCCTCGGGGTGCTTTTCGGCTGGCCTCCTCTCGCTGCGGAGAGAACACGGCGGATGCTTGCTGCTCTGTCGGTTTGGGGAGATTTGGCTTGGGATCCCGAAAACTTCAGAGCAAAACGCAAATGTCAAAGGTCCAGACACCGCGGGTGTCCGCGCTGCGAAAAACAACACAATGTCACAGTCTGGGATCGGGCACCGGTGCTCGAAGGCCCGTCGGAATCGAGGCTCGAGGTCATCGAGAGCGTGGGCGTGTTGGGCATATTTGAAGCGTCCGTTGGGGCCTCTGGAGGTTCCTGGGAACTCCAGCGGCCCCAGAGGATGGGAGGAGGAGGAGGAGTAGGAGGAGGAGGAAAGGAGGAGGAAAGGAGGAGGAAAGGAGGAGGAGGAGGACGAGGAGGAGGAAGAGGAGGCACGGAGGAAGCGAGCAGGCGGAGGGCGAGGAGGGCGAGGAGGGAAGAGTGGGATGCAACGAGGAGGAGGAGGAGAAGGAGGAGGAGGAGGAGGAAAACGAGGACGAGGACGAGAACGAGGAGGACGACGAGGACGAGCAGGCAGCGAGTTGGGAAAAGACCCCTGTCGGCAGACCCCTCCTATTTGGGAGTGGCCGCTGTGTCAGACAGCCGGCCATCCTTGGGAGATCGCCCCATGTGAGGGGCGGTGGATAAGCGTGCCAGCTGCCGATCATTGTGCTGGGGCGGTTGGGGGGACCCGCGCGCGCCTGGTGGAGGACGAGTTGGCGGTCGTAGGGGGGGGGGGGCCCTCTGGAGGGTCGGGCCAGGCCTCGGGAGCCTCACCGCCAGAGGAGGAGGAGGAGGAGGAGGAGGAGGAGGAGGACTGAAGCGGAGCTGCTCTCGCGGAAACCGAGGTGAGTGCCCTGCGCCCCTCCGTCCGTTGCAGCATGAGGTCGAGTGATGACGTTGTCAACTTTTGGGGTACGCTCGAGGTGGAGGAGGAGGAGGAGGTGCGACATGTGCTTGGGCTTCGCATCTTCAATGGTATCCGTGCGACATGTGCTCATTTCCGTCGACCGCGCGAGCTGGATGCGGCAGGAAGTCTCATCGCCACGGTCCGCCACCAGTTGCTGAGGTAGTTGGACGAGGACCCGAGCGCAACACCAGGCTGCAGGAGTAGCACGTGGCATGAGCGTGGTCTCTGCCGTTCCCGCTTGACCGCCGACACCTTCGGGGCAGGGTGGACCAGCCGTGCGAAAACTTGGGGGCGTAGCGGTGCAGGAGCACTCCCAGGCCCCCGAATTGGGTTGGCATCGGGTCCTTTTCCGCGACGCGGCGCATCTCGTCAATAACGCCCCCGGCGGCGTGACAAGCCTTACGCATCCCCTGGCCTTCCTGCGCCTCCTGCTGCTGCTTCTGGTGCTGGACCGCCCCGCTTAAACGCATCTCTGTGACGACGTGGCATTCGGCACCAAGATTACCCATGCCCATGAGCTCCTTGTGCTGCTCTCGGAGCACCACCTGGTGGTCTCCCCTGGTCTCCTGCACCTTGCACTTCTGCCGCTCCCCCGGCGCTCCGGCTGCATATTCCAGTGGCCGCTCGCCTCCAGCCATCTCCACGGCATCCTCCAGCGGGCGCTCGCCGCTGACCGCCTCTGCGGCTATGAGCTTCTGCACCTCGATGAGGCGCCGCACCATGGGGTCCTGCACGTGCGGATGTTGCTCTTGCTGCTGCAGGTGGTGCTTCAGACTGAACTGCTCCTCGTATTGGGTCACCTCCTGGGGCTCCTGCCCCTTCTTCTTGAAACCAGCAAGGGCCTCCTCTCTCTCCTGCTGTGCGGTGCGGAGGTTGTCCTCGGCTTGCTCAAGTAAATCCCCGAGGATGATGTCGAGTCGATCGCCTTGGGGCCACTTGGCAAGCTGCCAGGCCAGTAGCGCGAGGAGGAGGCCCATGGAGCGCCCACTTGAAAGACGCGAAAAAACGAGGGCGTCTGCGCCGACATTGGCGCGTAAGCTGCCCGCGGAAGGTCGCGCGTAAGCGCCTTCGTCTCCAATGTAGCGTGCCGCGCTGACGGCCCGCGTCAGCCGCCGCGTAATGTCTATGCCACTTCGCGTAAGACCCGTTTTTGATCATCGTTCATTTCGCACGGATACCGAGCTTACGCGGCGCCCCAGCCTCGCTTTCCAAGCCGAGGGGCTGCGCCATGCTCGCTGCGTCCATCAGCAACGCCAGGGACCCGATCGCTCAACGCCCATCGCAGGGAGCGGCGAATGGTCTGTTCGCCGCTCCGTTCGGCATGGTGCATCCGCCTGGTCAGCGCCAGGGCGCGTGCCGCTCCTGCACGGCTGCCACACTTGTGCCCCGGCCTGCGCGCAAGCGTCCGGGCTTGGGCGTTGCGTACAAGGGGGGTCATGAATGGGGGGGCGGCGAGGGTGGTCCGAAAAGGTACCCTAACGGTACCTAAACGAGCCCCTTGGGGCTCGGGAGGGGCCCGAAGGGGGCACGAAAGGGGACGCTTTCAGGCTGGCGCCGCCGCCCGCTGCTTGCCTGCGGCTGGAGCCTGCCCTCGCGGGCAAGTCATCGCGAGAGCCGCCGCGGGCGCGCGCCGTGCGGGGGCCTTCCCTGGCCTGGCTCACTCGAGCCGGAGTTCGACCGGATGTGGGAGTGACCTTTCGCCGGAGTGACTTTCAGTGCGGGCGGGCCCATCCCTCGCATCCCTTACCATGGCGTAGATCTTCTCTCCATTCGCACAATCGGATGTCGCAGCATGGCGTAGCATTACATGGCATAGCATGGTGTTGAAGATCAACGCGTAGCATGACATAGCATGGCGTGGCGACGCCCCAAAGTGAGGGGGGGCTTCTGCGACCAAAAAAATCAACGAATCGACACCGAATTTGTAATCACTTCCGATGGCTTCTTCTGGAGGCCACTGGGACCTACTTGGAAGGACCGAAACCATACCGTGGCATGGCGCTGGAAATTATGACGCCAGCGCTGCAGCGGGAGCACGATTCGGAACGAGCGGAAGCGGAAGAACCGAAAACCATGCCGTGGCATGGCGCTGGAAATAATGACGCCAGCGCTGCAGCGGAAGCACGATACGGAACAAGCGCAAGCGCGGAAATGAGGCCAGCGCCGCAGCGGGAGCACGATTCGGAACAAGCGGTGGCCCGAAAATGAAGCCAGCGCCTCAGCGAGAGCAGCATTTTGAACACAAAACCAAGCGAAAATCAGTTTCTTGGGAATCCTTTGTGTGTGTGTGTGTGTATAAGATTATTCACTGCGTGGGGATCCCCATATGTGCATCTCCTTGCTGGCGCTCCCTTGGTGGTGGGACTCGATGAGGACGAATCTGGATTTAAGTGTGACTGAGCTGCCTCTCTCTCTGCTCTCTCTGCTCTCTCTGTCTCTCTCTCTCTCTCTCTCTGCCCTCTCTCTGTCTCTGCCTCTCTTTCCCTGCCTCTCTCTCTCTCTCTGCCTCTCTCTCTGCCTCTGTCTCTCTGCCTCTCTCTCTCTCTCTGCCTCTCTCTCTGTGCCTCTCTCTCTCTGCCTCTATCTCTGCTCTCTCTCTCTCTCTCTCTCTCTCTCTCTCTCCTCTCTCTCTTCTCTCTATTCTCTCTCTGCTCTCTCCTCTCTCTCTCACTCTCCCTCTCTCTCTCTCTCGCTCTCTCTCTTCTCTTCTCTTCTCTTCTCTCTCTCTCTCTCTCTATCTCTCTCTCTCTCTCTTTCTCTCTCTATCTCTCTCTCTCTCTCTCTCTCTCTCTCTCTTTCGCTCTCTCGCTCTCTCTTGCTCTCTCTCGCTCTCTGTCGCTCTCTCTCGCTCTCTCTCTCTCTCTCTCGCTCTCACTCGCTCTCTCTCGCTCTCTCTCGCTCTCCCTCGCTCTCTCCCGCTCTCTCTCTCTCTCTCTCTGCTCTCTCTCTCTCTCTCGCTCTCTCCCGCTCTCTCTCTCTCTCTCTCTCTCTCTCTCTCTCTCTCTCTCTCTCTCTCTCTCTCTCTCTCTCTCTCTCTCTCTCTCTAGTCTCGGCTCGAGAGTGCCCTGCACTCATAGCGTAGCCGCGACGCGAAGCGCCCCGCTCTGGAGTCCCGACTCCAGGCCTCGCGAGACCGGAACCGCGCCAGCAGCGCGGTACTGATTTGCGTCTCCTCACTTCCTCAGTGCGACCGCCGCCATGGCCCCCCTGTCTGCGCCAGGCCGCCACCGCACTTTCACGTCTCACCATGCTGTACTACCTGAGCTGCCTGGCCATGTTACTGAACATAGGCACCAGGACCTTGTCTTCCGCGTGCCCGTCCTGCACGGGCGCGACCTCCCAGTACCACCTGGACACGCCCCACACGTGCCGCGTGCGGATCTTCACGAAGATCTACGTATACTCGGGCACGACGTGTTCCACCTGCGCGCCGAGCTGCGCGCCTACCGAGCCGACCTCCGCGCTCACCTACCAGGCACCGACGCCAACACAGACGACTCCGTCCAGCACCTGCTCACCTCGGTACGGCCAGGTATCCAGGGGGGGGTCGGGCTCCCGACTGCTGAGGGTGACGGTGCTGAGTGCGGTCGGGCTGGTCCCACGCCTGCCGTCGTCGCGCCGTGCGTGACAAGCAGTCGGCCCCCAACCTCCCCCCGAGAGCGCCCCCGCGGCACCGCAGGCACCGCTCTCAACTTCATCGGCATTATCTTGCTGAACTTCGTGTACGGCCTCGGCTCCGCCTTCGGCATCGCTCTCCGCACCGTCGGTACGGTCTTGCGTACCATCGGCAAGGGCACCAGGAGCGTCGTCAAGCACATCGTCGACACCGCCGGCACGGCGGGCCCAGCCCGCCCCAGAAGGGCCGTCAAGGTCGGCTACGCGTTCTTTGGCGTCCTCGGCACCGCCTGCGGCTTCAAGGGCACGGCGGGCCTGGCCCGCCCCAAACGGGCCACCATCTCGGCCGTCGTCATGCTCGTCCTTGCATCGACCTCAGCATCGCCACCAGCACTGCCGACCGCATCGACGCCAGCCTCGACGGGCCTTTCAACATCCTCTGTCCTGACGCCTCGCCCAGGGCCGTTGGCGAGGGTGCTGCCTTCAGGTGCACCTGACGCTAGAGGGGCCGTCCTGTCATGCCATGACCCGTCCGCCTTGCCGACGCCAGCGTCTGTGCCTATGGCCCCATCGACGTCAACATCGACGTCAGCATCGTCCTCGGCAGCCTCCACGCCCACGTCCACGACGGACCAAACCCCAGCTCCGCAGACAGCATCGACGCCAGCTCTGACGACGGCACTGCAGTCAGCCTCGACGCCAGCGAGGGGTACGGATTCGGCACCATCCTCGCCCCCTCCCTCACCCCGCCCCGCAGGAGGAGGAGGAGACGACGACGACCACGACGACCTTGACGACGCAGTACCGGCGCCGGCGCCGAGGTCAGCATCGACGCTCCCACCGACAGCAGAAACGACCACAGTTTCGCCGACCCCGACGGCAGCATCGACGGCGGCGAGGACGGCTCCGACGGCAGCACCGCTAGCATCGCTAGCATCGTCAGCTACGATGGCAGCATCGTTAGTACCGCCGGCTCCGACGTCAGCATCGTTAGCATCGTCGGTTCCGACGGCCGCATCGACGGCAGCGACGACGGCTCCGCCCGCAGTTTCACAGACTCCGACGGCGGCATCGATAGCATCGCCGGCTCCGACGGTAGCATCGACGGCAGCGACGCCACCACTGCCAGCGGCGGCTCCGACGTCAGCATCGACGGCAGCGACGCCAGTACTGCCAGCGACAGCTCCGACGGCCGCAAGAGACGTCAGCACCACAATCAGCCACTCCTGCGCTCCCTGTATGGCCACTCGCTCGGCGGCGCCTTCAGGCCCGCCGAAGCCTGGTGACCTACAGACCTCTCCTCGGCATCATCGTCTCTCAGAGTTGCAGCCAGCTTCGACGCCAGCTCCGACGTCCGTATCGAGGCTAGCACCGACGCCAGCCCCTACGACAGCACCGCCAGCGTCAACACCCACGCCTGCGCCTACGCCGGTACCTACGCCAGAGTTGCAGGCCGCATCGACGCTAGCTCCGACGTCTCCATCGAGACCAGCACCGATGACAGCTCCTACGCCAGCGCCGCCAGCGTCAGCACCTACGCCTGCGCCTACGCCCGTGCCCACGCCAGAGTTGCAGCCAGCGTCGACGCCAGCTCCGACGCCAGCACTGACGCCTGCATTGACGACCGCATCGACGTCAGCCTCACTGAGCCCTCAGCCACTCACTGTCCTGACGCCTCGCCCAGGGCCGCTGGCGCGGGTGCCGTCTTCAGGCGCACCCTACGCCATTGGGGCCGTCATGCCATGCCATGCCACGTCCGCCTCGTCGACACCATCGTCAGTGCCACTGCCTGCATTGACGTCAACATCGACGCCAGCGTCCACGGACGCCAGGACGCCAGCACCCGTGCCTGCATCCACCGAACGGCAGCGCTACCCTCTGACAGTCGATCATACTGCTCATGTGCCCCACCCCCAAGCGACTGACTTTAGTCCCGCTGCAGGGTGCCACCGAGTGCCGCCACCCACTATTTATCCCACCCCGCCGACGACCCTGGGTGTCTCTAGGCCAGCACCGCCGACCACCGCATCGATTGAGGCGCCCACGTCCACATCAACGTCAGCACCGACGGCCGCATCGAGGCCAGCCTCGATGAGTCCTCAGCCAGTCACTGCTCTGACGCCTCGTCCAGGGCCGCGGGCGGGAG